TGTTGTACATGGGAAGATGTTGGCACTTTGGCCAAGCTTAACTCTTGTTTTTCCACAGATCTCTCTTCTGATTTCAGTTACAGATAGGGAATTCTAAGGCTTCCAGGCTGCATGTTACAAGGCACTCAGCAGCAGGCTTCAACAGACCTGGAATTTGTTTTTGTTTTGCTTTTGCTTGGCACTTTAAAAACAACATTTGTATATCCTACAAGTCCAGAACATTTTCATATATGAAGATTTTCTGTAAAAATGAAATAAAAAGTCAGGGCACTCTTTTAGAGAGTGTGTACCCCATTTTCAGTTGAGCAAATGTGTTCACTTCAGACCTGTCTCCAGGACTTCAAGGGATTTTCCTTTCCTTGTTTGATTCAGAACTTTCTGAGGAACAGTAATTTCAATTATTTTATTGTTGTTTGGGAAGTTTGAAAGTCAAAATTAGCAGAAAGAGTCTTTCATCCTGTATCACACGCCTTCCTGCCCTCCCCAAATGAATTGACCCAGGCCAAAGGCAGGAGGCAGCAGGCAGGAGCTTCTCTAGGTCTCCAATCTGGATGCAGAGGCCCAAGGACTTGAGCCATCCTGCACTGCCTTTCCAGGCACATTAGCAGGGGACTGAATCAGAAGTCTAGCAGCTGGAGCATGAAGTGGCACCTGTGTGGAGTGCCAGCATTGCAGGTGACAGCTTTACCCACTAAAGTCATAATGCTGGTGCCAGTATTTTCAATTTTAAATTAACACTTGCCTTAGAAAACATTTGAAATGTTTTCTGATTAGTTTTAAAGGTGAAATTGCCTGTTTGTTTTAGTGAAGGGATATGGTGGCAAAAGAGGTTAATTATATTGAAAAAGATTAGGTTCTATATTGTATCTTTGCACTACAGAAATAATTTAGGTGTTGCGATCTCTGAGTTCGTCAGCCAAAAGTTCCATTTGGGCTTCTTCATTACATACTTTTCATGTTTTTAAAGCTTATTATAAAATCAAATTTAAACAATATAATTATTGTTTTTTTCTGGTGATAACATAGGTAATGAGAATTTACCTTGCTTCCTGCTTGTGGTAGGCAGCATAATGGCTGCCAAACATATTCAGACCCTCATTGCGAGAACTTGTGAAGCCAGGACAAAAGAAAATTCTCTCATGTGATTGGTAAGTGTGGAACTTGAGATTGAGAGTGTGAAGGGGAGCAGGTGGAACCAACTCAACTGCAGTTTAAAATTGGAGAATCTTTCTGAGAGAGATGTGACCAGGGAAACTTAGAGAGATGGGATACTGCTGGCTTAGAAGATGGAGGAAGGGGCCAGGCACCCTGGGAGAGGTGGCTTTCTGGGAAGCAAGGAAACATTGTCCTGTGGAACCTGGAAAAGAGCCCAGTGGACATCGTTGATGGAAGCCTGGGAGACCAATGTCCAACTTTAACCTATTGTTAAAAAAGGAAAGTGATCAAGTACAGATAAGTTGCTTAAAATGTTTCCTCACTGTGAAAGTACAGATGCCAAAAGAATCTTAAGAATGTATGTGTTCGTGTCTGTAGTTAACATCTGAATTTTCCAAAGACACTGGGAAGCAATTCATTGTTAAAGTATTTCATGTCTTGAGAGAGACTGCGAGATTATTCTCCCACAACCTAAGTGGTGTGTCTCCAACTGAGTTTTGGTACTGAATGGGTAGCTTGGGTGTTTGAATAGCAGTGAAGGCAGTACTTATGAGTACCTGGGTTCAAGTCCCAGCCCTGTTGTTATAGCTATTTGACCCAGAAGGTGCGAAATCTTTTAACACACACACACACACACACACACACACACACACACACACGTACGTATATGATGATCATGTGACTAAATAAGTCAGATTGGCTTTTAGCTGTCCAATGGTGACATTCTTTTTTAGGATCACCAGTTTTCCAAGCCAGAAGTAAGCTGAAACAAGCTGCTTGGTGCTGTACCATGGAGCAGCCAGCCACTCTGCCATCCACTAGGCAGAGATAACCCTTAAGTCACATACTCTAATGTAGAACCCCCAGTAGGAGACCCATGCAGTACAGCACAGACTTTGATGCTATTCCCTGTGCTTCAATCATACAAAATATGGTCGTTTATTAATCTCTGTGGAGATGAAAAAATCCTTCAGGTTAGTTTCAGGAAATCAGGAACTTTTCTGGAAAACCACTATATATACTGGTTTAAAAATCATGGTCTGAGGCTGGTGGTGTGGTGCAGTGTTAAGCGACTGCCTACAAAGTTAGCATCCTGTGTCAGAATGTTCATTTGGGTCTGGCTTCTCCGCTTGTGATCCTGCTCCCTGCTAATGCACCTGGGAAGTCAGCAGAAGATGCTTCAAATACCTAGGCCCTGCAATTCTATGGGAGACCTGGATGGAGTTCCAGGCTCCTGGCTTCAACCTGGTCCGGTCCCAGCTGTTATGGCCATTTGGGGAATGAATCAGCAGATGGAAATTCCTTTCTCTAACTGTGCATTAAAAAAAAATCTTTTTAGAAAAAAGAATACACATATCACACATTTTACAAGTCTTAATTATTCTGTTCAATTGAATAGATACAAAATATTCTACAAATAATTTTTATATGCATGCTTAGCTCCTATAATGCAGAAGTTATCTTGGGAATAGGGGTCAAGTGATGCAGCAAAAAAGATGGCCTGGGTTTTATCTTTGCAGATGGTTACATGTTTACTTGCCCATGTGTGTACCTGGCAGTGCTTTTCTCTTGTGTTTGGGACACAGATGTCTCTGGTACAAGAGAAAAGCCAGATGGAACTAATTTGTGTATGTGAAGAAAGACGTTAGACAGAACAGTGCTGAGAAGGCAAATTTATATTGCAATAAGCATCTTTTCTAAGGTAAAATACATATAAGGCACTTTAGAAAGTCAGAAAATGGAGTTACGAGATACATTTATTTTGGTGCAAAAGACAGGAAATTCATGCATAGTTTTTTTTTTTCTTGATGTGTGTTTTCCATGAGCTTTTTGAAGACCTCTTGTATACATGGATTTCAAATGTTTTTGTACCCAATCAAAATGACTTCATTGCATTTCCTGGGAACTTTTTATGTTCCCTCAAGTGTTCGGGTTGCCTTATGCCAGCCTACTCATGACCCAGAACCAGGGCTGTGCCTGTGGATGGAAGACTTACAAGGCGGGTTTAGAATAATTTCATTATTCCCTCACATGCCCCAGATTTGCAGTAAGCACTGGGGAATAATTTGCAAATATTGGGAAATATGGAGGAAGCAACAAGCTTTTGGGCCCGATCAGGCAGCTACTAGAGTGTCTCAAGTAAGATAACACATTGCAAAGGCTCTTGACAGCACGCCAAACTTCTTTTTTGTGTGCTTATGGGGTGGCACACAGGGCAGTCACTGGGTTTAGACAGGTCAGATCTTAAGATCCCTCAAGATTTCCCAGCACAAAAGTGAGATTTATTTGCCTGTTTTCTCACTTGCATTTTTTGCGACTGTGGAAGAGGGCCCGGTTTATGACCTGGTGGTGGGTCCATTAGTTATTTCTGACTATATATATGTGTCATTATGTATATTATATAATGTATACTATACTCTAATATATTGTATATATATATATATAGTATATATAATCTAAAAATGAGATAACAGAACTTTAGCAAGGAACAGAGGGTTATGGAAATTTTGCCCGTACCGTTGGAAACTTTCTTGGCTATGTAATAAGACAAAGCTCTAAAATCGTGTTAATTAAACCCTTTCCACAGACTTGTATGTCTGCTCCTGGAGAGGGAAGTGGCTAGCTGGCTAGGGACCAAAAGCAGCCTGCTTGCTGGCAGCAATTTTACCTCAATCCAGGAGGGGCCATCACCCTCTCTCCGAGAAGAAACCATACATTTATTTTTATGGCATTTAAGGGGAATCATGAAAGTATTTGCAACCGATCTCTGTTGAGCCATTAGGCACACAGTGTTCCAGCTTGCCTCACAGCACAGGGTCTCCACTCCAGTGGATAGAGAACTGGTATTAAAGCAATACCAAGTAGCACAGTAAGCTGCACCACCTGCCACCAGGGACGCTAAAATCCTTTCAATGACATGCCCTTCCTCACTTCACTGCCTTCTCAACCCCCTCAGCCAGGACACCTGCAAGTTCCCTTGGTGTTAGATGTCCTCAGGGGGTGTCTCCCCCTCCATGTGGCCTTCATGCCCCCGCACCCAACCTCACCCACTCTAGGAATCTCTTCTTCATTTGTCTTGCCCAAAGCCATGTCTCTGCTGGTGACATCCACAGGGAACTCCCATGCTCCAGGCCATCTCCCTGAACCACCAAGCACCTCCACTAAGATGTCCCATACATTCCTGGAAATCAGTTTATTGGAAACTGAGCTCATGATCTGCACTGCAGCACTGTCTGCCTCCTAACTGATTACAATAGCCAGGGCTGGGCCAGGCCAATGTCAAGAGCTGGAAACTATCCTGGTCTCCCACGTGTGTGGCAGACACCAAGCACAAGGGGCATCTTGCGCTGCCCTCTTAGGCACTTTAGGCACATTGGAAGCGAAGCTGTGTTCTTTATACAATGCTGGCATTCTAAGCATCAGCTTAACTTGCTTGGCCCCTAAAACTTTCAGCCTGGTCCCAGCTGAGTCATTGAAGCCATTTGGGGAATGGACCAGAAACAAGATGAACCAAGATGGATTCTCTTTCTGTAAACTGCTTTAAAAATAAATCTTTGTAAAAATGATTTGAATGGCTTCAATTGCTGAAAACTAGAGACATTCCTTATATTGAAATCGGACTAAAGGGATGTTCAGTGATGAACTGGACCTACCCAGTGGCTCTCATTTGTCATAGCTTCCGCCATTCTTTAATGTCTTGTGCCTGGTATACCTTAATGATTCAGCACTTTTATGTTGCCTGGCCTCCTCACCCTTTTATTTGTAGGCAAATAGGAATATAAAAATAAAAGTTATAGGAAGTAACTCCCTAGTTTTTTCATTCACAGATGGAAAACATTGTTAATTTTCTTTGCTTTATTGTTTTTTTTCCTGGTGCATCCACACCCTTAAAAGTTGGTGAGAAGTAAAGACACATCTGAACTCCTCACTTCCCACTCAGAGATAGCAGCTCTCCTCTTTGCATGTTCTCATACAAACCACTCCATGGGCTGGTGCAAAAGATGATGGCGATGGGAAGGTTTTATATTTCCTGGAGCTCCACAATCTTACGCTGCAATTTCTTCAGGTCTTTCTGTACTTTATATTTCTCTAAATCCATCTTTGTCTTCTGTATTTGTTGGAGGGAGGTGAGAGAGTCATGAATTGATTTAAATCCTGTGAGGAGAAAGGCAGAGAGAAGAGGTATGCTAAAGCAACACATCAGAATACATAAATATTTTACAAAATGACTGATCAGCAGCTCTGCCATGATTGAGCCTCATTTAATTCCAAGCACACCAAGTTCCATTGGGACCAGTCTAAATGCTTACCAGCCCTTCCCTGTGTCATGAAGATGCATTAGCAATGGTGTTTTCCCTGATATTCTCATGAACATTAACTCCTCTCTTTCCTCTCCCTGCAAACATATTACACAACGAAGTGACTCTATATTTCAACAGATATGATATATTTGTACAGTCTCTTAACCTATTAAAGAAATTTCTTGTTACCACACTGACGGTAAAGACCACACGAAATTTTAAAAGTTTCCTGGATACTGGCATTGTGGTATTGTGAGTTAAGTTACTGTCTGCAGTGCTGGCAGTGCTGATTTGAGTCCTGGCTGCTCCAAATCTGATGCACCTCTCTGCTAAAGCTCCTGGAAAGGTGTAGGAAGATGGCCCAAGTGCTTGGGCACCTGTGCCTTATGGGAGGCTCAGAAGAAGCTCTGGCTTCTGGCATTGACCTGACCCAACCTTGGCTATCATGGCCACTTGGGGAGTAAACCAGCTGATGGAAGCTGTCTCCCTGTCTTGTTCTCTCTACCTCCTCTCATTGTATTCTCTAACTCTGCCTTTCAAAAAACAATAAATCTTTAAGAATATTTAAGAATAAAGCTGCTATATACATTGCAAAAAAAAATATTTAACAAGCTCTCTGAAGTGACTGACAGACCTAGAGTAGCCACCTGCTCCCCTTCTCCTGCCATGCTCCACACCCTGGGGTCTCCTCTCTGCAAGCCAGCATGGCATCCCTTATGCACTGCTGGTCACTGGTGACCACAGGCCCACCAGGGCTTGGACTGCCTGGGTCACTACTCATTCTCTGTACTGTGGTCCTTTGTTTTTTTAAAAAATTTATTTATTTTTATTGGAAAGTCGGATATACAGAGAGGAGGCGAGATAAAGAGGAAGACCTTCCATCTGTTGATTCACTTCCCAAGGGGCCACAATGGCCAGAGCTGAGCCAATCCGAAGCCAGGAGCCTATAGCCTCTTCCAGGTCTCCCTCATGGGTACAGGATCCCAAGCAGGGAGCTGGATGGGAAGCTGGGCCACTGGGATTAGAACCAGCGCCCATATGGGAACCTGAGGAAAGGTTCCCATAAGGAGGAGAGGTTCCTAAAGGAGAGGGCTTTTAACTGCTAGACGACCTTGCCGGGTCTCTGTAGTCCTTTCTTTAATGCATCACTATGACAGGCACAAGGAAGCTGACAGTCCTTGGAGCCCCCCCTTGTCTGGAATTCCCAGTTAGCAAAAGGCAGAAGCCTGTAAAAGGTGAGTTCCTCTCCTACTCATCTGTGGCTGTGCTCAAGAAAGTAGTCAAATCCCACCTCAGAAACAGGTCCCATGATAGAACTGCCCATGAAGCATGAGAACTCATCCCTGACTCATTTTGATATGGGGGTGGCAGGTGGCAGTTGTGGGCAACAGATTCTACTGCTGTGCCAAGAACACCTGCAGAATGAGACCATGCTGTCTTCCCTAGGAACCTGCTCCAAGGTAAAACTTGGGAGGATTTATCTGCATGTGTTTCTATGATCTAGAGGATGGAAAGTAGGTTGTGGCTTTCCTTAACTTACAGGAACCCCTCTGACTCCTGGTAATTCCATTAGAATTGTCACTCCGGGCAGATGGCTGCTCCCCTGTGCCTATCCCATGTCCTGCCCTTTGACAAATTAGATGAGCCTTTCAAAGTAATCCTCTTTGATGCTAGCTCGGCTTGACACCACTGCTGTTAGCCTTGGAAGAAGGAGAGCAATCGACATACCAGCCTCTGCTAATTCATCTTTCTCACTTCTAAAGATTGAGTCTGCAATCTGACATCTGTCCAAATTCATTGTCCACAGTTCATTGCCATTAGCTCACCTGATGGAGGCTCCTATTTCCTGACATACCCACAGGGCAAGTCTCTCTGACCGCCGAGGAATTTCCAAGTCAAACTATTCTGTGGTTCTCTGGTCACAGAGAATTAAAAAATCTACAGCCACAACAGGCTTATGACACAGCAAAATGTGAATGAACAAAGTTAACTGATTTTGTACTTTCCAATAGATGGCTTGCTTGGTAGAGGTGGGAAATTTGTTTTCTGTCTAAGATCATACAAAATTATCAACTTAAAAATTAGACTTTCATAGTTAATAGATGTGTTGGATTTCTAGGTCTGCCTGTGGTTGCCTTGGCAAGGCTGGGCCAAATGATTTTACAGACCTCATGCAGCCCACTAGCCTGATGTTACACTGTGCAAGTAACAGGCACTTTGAAAAGTTCAATTAAATTCAAGAATGACAAGGTTGACCCCGATCATTATCTCTTAGTCAAAAACTCAGAGGAATCTGCAAGGAGAGATATTCTTGACTTAATAAAAAATATCTGCTCACACCTGATTGATATTCAGTCTGCATTTTCTCCAACTCCTCCCAGATCTGTTTTTCCATGTGGCTCATCCTTTTGGACAATTTGTTTTCTATGTGCTTTGCTTTGTTGAGTTCCGCTTCCTGCTTGTGTGTGTTAATGAAATTCTCTACTTTGCTTGAAAGCTGCAGCAGTCTTTCTTCCATTTTCATTTCAGATTTTTCCTGTAAGAGAGAGCACATGATGAAATCTGTAGAAAAGGGAACTCAGGTAGACGACCTATTCATGGTTTCCTGGTAAGCATCAAAATTCCAGCCTGCATCCGTTGTATCTGAAACTGTGATCACATGTGTGAGAGATAACCTCTGTTTGGGCAGGCTTGTTTATAGATGTTACAGAAGAGGGGTATGTCTTGCTATGATGCCTTGAGGGATGGGATGTTCATGTAGTGTTGGTGAAGCCATTTTAGATCCTGCTTTCCCCGAGTTCCTGGGACATGGCCCTTAAGTGTGAGACATTCTTATTCCCTGGCTTGCTGTATCTTCATGTGGGTTCACTTCAGCCAGAAGAGAGACCTTCACACCACCTGTTTGTTACAGTCACCTGGAACACCTTGCGAAATTCAGATTAATGGGTTTATGTTGGAATTCAGAAACCGATGTCACTTACAATGTCTCGAGAAGCCGCTTGGGATGCCAGCATCCCACTTTGAAGGGCTGGGGCTGGAGTCCTGGGTCACTCCCCAACTTCAGCCTTCTAATATTGGCACACCCTGGGAGACAGCAGGTGGTGGCTCAAGTACCTGTGTCCCTTTCACCAGTGTGGGGAGATCTAGACTGAGTTCTTGCCTCCTGGTTCTGACCTGTTTCATTCCAGCTTCTGTAGTCATTTGGGAAGTGAAGGAGCAAATGGGAGTGCTCTCTTCTCTTGCAACAACAACGACAACAACAAAAAGGCAGGGTCAGGGAGGCGGAACTCTCTAGGTGTTTCTAATGTGCAGCTGGGAGGGCATCCCAGAGGCAGCCTCCCACTTCGTAGCTTTTCTGTTCAGGGAGCTGGGGAGCAGAAGTGCTGCCTGACTTAGGCACTGTTTTTCTTTGCTTTGTCGTGGGAGGTCCTGCAGGGGTTCATCTGGCCCTCCCTTAACTGACAGACAGGTCTGTCTAATTAAGGCTTGAGGACTAGCGCGCCCTCTGGGACATTCCCCTGATCACGTGTGCTCCAAATGTCCAGTCACTGTCAGATAAGTTACACCAATCATTAGCTGGAGCTCCTGACTCCAGCAGCAGGCATTTGCGCACACAGGTGGGGCTGGAAGTGTTGTTTCCTGAGCTGCCAGAGGCCCCTTTTCCTAAACTTTCCAAACACATTATTTCACTCATCTGCAGGGCTGACAGCCCCCCACCATGCTGATGGCCCACTGCTGTCCCACCTAAACCCTGCACTGGGTCCGATGTGGGAGTTGCATTGGGAGAATGGGGTTCCTGAATTAAATGCATTTCTCATACACTTTGGTAGTCTCACTCCAAAGCCTGTGGTTTCTTTTATACATAATCCAAATGGAAAGGGGGTTTTGAAAGCCTCTGCTCTGCTAACAGCTCTCTGCGAAAGTTAGGCAGTTTATCGAAGCAAAAGCTTACAAGCTGCTATCATCCTAAACGTCAACCAGGAAGTCTTCTTGTAGCCACTGACTCGTGAGGACTGAGGTGAGAATCTGTGTTACTCAGCGATTGTTTCAGGGTATTTTGGTCCAGGAAGGACACCCTCAGAAAAGGAGATTTGCCAAGTTGGAGAGCAGCAAACAAGACAGAAAAAAATCTAAATTGCTCATGCAAGGACAATGATTCCACATTCAACAGGTTGTGATGTGGGGTGAACAGGCAATCCTCTAGCTAAGATCTAAGTGAGCAGAAAGTCCTTGCAAGCCATAACATGTTAACCCCCTCCATACCTGTCATCAAAATGTCCTTTTCCCCAGGATGAACCTGTTTCATTCAGGACCTAGAGGGTGGGAGGTGAAGGAGGAGTGCCATGAAAATGTAAAACTTAAGCTCCACCTGGAGTTTATGGAGGGATCGTAAGATTTTCAGGTGACTCCATGCATGTGGAGGCACCATCCCCTACCTTGTGAAACGGGTCCGTAGTGGGACGAAGTGCTCTCGCTGTCTGCTGCCCCAGGCTGCAGGTGCTACTCAGGTGTTCTCTTTCTCTCCTTCCCCCACTTCTCCCTTTGGAAGATGCTCCGACTCACTCTTAACAGATATGTCTTCACATGGGACAGCCCTCACTCAAGTGTGAGTATGTGTTCACTTTCTCACTTTGTAAATAAATCTTGCCGTGACTTTGTGCAGCTTATACACGTGTCAGCTTAGCATGCACAGCTGTGTGTGAGACCAGGGCCTGGCAAAGGATGAGACTGTGCCCACACCCATGCTAACGCCCATTCAGGCAGCCTAATGACATCCCAGGACCTCCTCCCTCACCAGTTTCTGCTGTAGAACGTTCAGACAGTCGGTGATATGACACAGGTGGTCTTTTCTATATTTGATGAACTGGTTTTCTGTCCACTTTTGATGGTTTGCAACTTCTTCATATAGATTATTTGAAAGGGAATTGAATCTGAAATAGGAAGAGATTTTGTTAAGATTTTAATGAGTGAATTTAAACTACTGGAAAAATCTGTAGTGTTAGAGGATGTTAAGGTCCAGTGTGCTTAGCTCAGTACTTGGGATGTGACGGGAGAGGAGCGAGGGAAGTGTGAGAAAATTTCAAGCCAAATGCAGAAATGGAGTTGAAAGGTACATTCTTTTTCATGCATTTTTTTTGAGGGAGATGCAAATCTATATACAAGAGGTCTTCAGAAATTTCATGGAAAGTATGTATTATGAAAAGGTTGGGACTTGAAAGTTTGCACAACAATACTTGTCTTTTAATTCCAGTTTTCCATGAACTTGTTGAAGTATTGGCATGTGATCTATTTGTGGTAAGATGCAAATGTAAAATTTCCTTTTGGAATAGGCAGTTGTGGGGCATAGCCTTCCTGAACCCATGAAACTCTAAGCATTGACTCTAGAGGAGGAGGGTGAAGGGAAGTGGGATACAGCTGTAGCTTATGTCCTTGAGTTGATAGCTTTGTGGAACACCAGAGAACATAACCGTGAACCAATTAAGCTTGTGTCATAGTTAACACTGTGCATTTTGGCCAGATGAGGCAAATATTGCCAGCCACCACCACCCTCTGTCAATCCCATGGGTAGATTAAGCCCCTGTCTCTCCCAGTTGCACTTTTTTGACTGGTTTCTTTGAAAGTAATGAATATCTAGGTGAGCCCTCTTGAGCTCTGAGTTGTAGCGTGGTAGAAAAAAACTGCTAGATGGGCAAGAACAAGCCATGTTGTTGGCTATTAAAAAAATCTTCAGATGTTGTTAGAATATGGGGTACTCACAGGTAAAGAAATAATTGCTCTGTCATCTTCAGGCAAAGTTATAAGCAGACAAGTTAGTCTGTGATATTTACTGTTGCAAATTGCTTATCCCGGAGTGGACATGAACTGTAACCACATCCCTCACCCTCAGCCTGAGAAAGTATTGGGATGAATCACTGGGAAAATCATATGTGCTGTTTTTTAGACCTATGCTCTCAGCTGGGGATGTTACTCCTCCCAGGGGTCATTGCATGGGTTCTGGAAATGTTTTTGTTTGCCCCTTGTGGCAGTGAGTGGAGAGAGATCAGCCATGCCAATAAACATGTGGAACGCACAGGACCCAAGAGCTGTGCTGCTGGGATTCCCATCGTGCCTAAGGGAAATCCTCACTCAGATGAAACACAGGCACTGACAGAGGAACCTGGCTTTCCACAGTTCTTCAAGGTACAATGTGATAGCTAAACTTGGACCTCACATAATTTTTGACCCAGGGAGGGATATTTTTCACAAGGAAAGCACATCTTAATTCAGAAGAGTTCCTTAATGTAGAAGAAGCCAAGACTGGCTTCTCTCTCTGCTCTGTGTCGTGGTTTCCTGTCACGTGGTGGCTCTTGGGGCTCAGACATAAACCGATATAATAGGTGGGCAACCTCATTGTAGCCAGTTATTTGTTCTGATTTGAATAATGGTCCTCAGAAAACTCATTTACCTATCTTATTTTGATTTGTGTTCAAGTATCACCTTGAACACAAGGTGATCATAGAAAACTTCATGTAATATCCTAAAAACAGGAACCCCTTTCTCCATATGATACCCATTGTTCTTTTCTCTTATTTATTTATTTTGCAAGTTTCTTCCCATATGATGTGTCTAACTTGTGTGCCATCTCCTCCACTAGAAGCCGCTGCATAAATAGTTGTTGATAAAATACCTTCTGTGAGGACCACTGACAAACAACAAATTGTAAATTTAACAGGCAAGGTAGAAATGTAGTTTGCTTCTATTGTCATCTTCCATTCCCTGTGTCCCCTGGATGTCTTAATTAATAGTAATGAGACAAGGGGACAGTCAGTTCCCAGATAACCAAGAGATAGCTTAAAATTGAGAATCTATAAAATATGAGCGTTTACTCTTTTGTTGCTGCAAAAAATATTAACATCCTGTTAAGGACAACAAGCCATTAAATGTGCCACATCATAGTAAAGGCATCCTGGCAGGGGAAATACTGAAATTAAAGCAAAGCATGCAGGATCACTCCCTGCTTGTGATCCTTTCATTGCAAAGTTTGCCTGAAATGGGAGACTCGCTTTCTTGCTAACAATCAGAGGTTGGACCTTTCTATTGGTAGTGTATTAAAATGTGAAAGCCTTGTAAGAGACCCTTTTCATTGAAAAGTAGATAAAGTGAAGGTTTATGGAAACCTTTTCTTTGCTTAAATTTGTTCCCTCACATAATGGACATGATTTGCTCAAATTCGGTTAATGATAGAGCTTCTAATTCAAATGTCAACATCTTGGATGAGATTGACATTTGAATTTCCATCTATTTTGCTGAATGTAGGAGTATTTCTATCAGAAGTAGAGAAGTAAGTATATATCTATACATAGGTGGCCAGGTAGGTTGGTAGGAAGATGAAAGCCTTTTTTTTTTTTTACTATTCATAAAAATATAAAAGTCACACTTAAAATTCAGCCATAAAGTTTACTAGATCTGTGTTTAACCATGACCTTCTCATAGAAGCCTTTCTATTTTTTGAACATTCAAATTCAGCTTTTGACTTCATTTTGCTTTATGTTATCTTTTATACTGATGGAATCAGGTAATAAGCCTTACCACGGACAGTTATGAGAGAGGAAGTTAGAAAAGGAAATGGAAGCCTTAGTGGGACCATTGTGGACGTAGTAGACCCAGTGAACTCAGGGTGGAGAACTGGGATGAGGGTAAATGCTGGAGACAGTGTCATGGTCTTGGTTAACATACTTGACACAGCTCCAGTCAATGCCAGTCTTACTGGGTATTCTGTGCTTCACACCCAATGTCTTGTATTAAATAAATGGTTGAATGAACTTTTTTTTTTTAGAAGATGAGAAAGAATGAATTCTTGCGTACTGTTAGAATGATCAGATTCTCAAGATTTTGAAGAGTAGCTGTGATCAAGTTGTTATCGTATTTGGAAGAAGGGCATATATGTTAGTTCATGTGCTATTCTTTCATTGGTGAACGAGTGTCAGATTTTAAATTTCAAGCAAGAAATTAATTCCAAGAAATACTGCTATCCTATTAAATTTTTACCCATTGGGACATTCCTCTTAAGCTAATTACTTCTTAATGTTTGACGATTTCCAATTAGTGGTACTGAGAAGCAATTCCAGCTCCACTCTCATAGGAAGACTTGTTTCTTGGTCACTACAAATTGTACTTGAACTTAAATCCCAATACATTCAAAGCCAGGGCACCTCAGCAAATACATCCTTTCCCTTCCCTGAATTTCTGTACCACAGTTTATTAAGAGGTACAACTGCCCAAGCTTTGGAGCCACTTTACAGCTGTGTGACTTTGAGCAGCTTGCTTAATCTCCGTGATGATCAATGTTCTCCTATTTCAAATGCAAGAACCAAGTAACCTTGGTCAATTTGAGCAATTCACAATTGATAGGTATTTATAAAATAGCAATTACTATGTTATTTCTGCCTACTGACATATCTCCTTGAACAGTGTCTTAACTATTGACTTGTGTTTAGCTCTTCACTCAGTCATTTGCTTTTTCCCCAACTATATGAGGCTAGGATTCAAAATACAACTTACATAGTACAGGTTCTTTAAAAAACCCCACTCATTTATTGGCTTCTGTTTGTGTTTGAAGACATTATGTGCTTAAAGAAAAAGATTAAGAAGATATAGCTCTGACTTGAATAGCTTTTAAACTCTCTGCTGTGGCAGCATTTCAAAGATGGCTGATTTGAGTCTATGCATTGGCTTATTTGACTCAACATTTTTCTTCTCTTATAAACCACTGACTATTAAACAACATCAGCAGCAAGAGCTCTCCAGGAATGACTGGCAGGTGCAGCCTGCCAAGCCCTTGTTGGAAGATGGCTATATTACAGGTCTGAGACTGTCTATGTGAGCACAAAGTTGATAACATAGGACATGAATTTGCTGAACACCTAAATCTCTTCTGGAAGGAAGAGGCTGAGTAGTGGAGCGAAACATAAATCTTTTTCATCAGGTGAGCCTCAGGAACTCAGAAGAAAACCCTCAGGTGATAATATGGTTTCTAGGTTTGAATAAAGAAAGGTTTATATAAAAAAAGTTGAACACTAAACTGGAATTTGTTAGTGTTTCTGATTGGGAACTTGCTTAATTAAACTCAACCTTAATGTTATTAAAAGGTTTTTAATAAGCCCTTTGTTCAGAGACAATAAGGAAATCCACTCTAATTAAAAAATTTACATATATCACAAAATTGCAATATTAGCATTCATTTGTACACTTCTAAAAACTACTTGATATATAATGGCAATCTCACAAAAAGCTTAAATTGCACATACCCACATATGGGTATGTGGAATTTTTATGTATTAAAAGAGAAATGCTTATTTTCAGTGTTTTTGAAGCAAAACGCATTTGTAAAATGCATCTCAGTCAAGATGCTAACATTCCTAATATGAAAAGATCCTACTTGTTGATAGGAACATAATAAAAATCTCAACACTAACATGGACACACGATAAGAACAGGCCATTCATAAAAAAGGAAAGTCAAGTGGAGAAAGGCATGCCCACTGATGGTTTGAATTGAGATGTAGAGATGATACATGGTAAGGTGTCATCCTCAGTGGCCTTGGAGCTTCTCTTTGCCTATATGGACCTCGAGGAATAGTGGCCAGTTAGGCAAGACAGACAGATTTGAGAGTAAGGGACCAGTGAACTGACTGCATCTAGAACCTTGTGTATTTTACCTTGAACTAGGGGGAACCTGTTTAGTTTAAGAAGGGATAGAGACAAGTTTAAAAAGGGATAATGTAGAAGAGATTTTTTTAAAGGCTTTAAAATCAAAATTGTTTTTAAAGATAGTTAATTTTTTTTTTCAGAACCGGAATTTTAGTAGTGTTTTACATTGAGATGGTTTATTATACAATGGCAGTGAGTTAACATTGCAATGGATGCATCATTTCAGCTGAGAGATATTGTTCAAAGAATGATACAGCTAATATTTATGTTTTCTTTTTTGTTAGATATACTATCCATGTTACTTTGGCAAGAATATTGTCAATATCCATTTGCTGCTGTATTTCTTGGCCACACTGAAATTCCTGGGATAGGTTTTTACACATGCCAGGGCTGTTGTGAGGCAAAACTTTTTGAAATACATTTAACAGAATTCATAATCTTTCATTCACTTACTTGAATCCCATAAGGTCCATTTCATGTTGAAAATCTCCTTGGACCATCTTTAAATGTGACATCTGCTCCGAACTGGAGGAGTCTATCTTTCCTAAGAGCTGCATTACCTAATGAAAACAAAAGAGGGGATGTTCTGTGTGTGAAGAAAACCACCAGCACTTACATTAATTGTGTCTTACTCCTGAGGGAGTCAGCCAGTGCAGTCCAGCCTACAGCGTATCTGCCTTTGGAGATGGTTGTTTTTAGAGGAGTCTGACTCACCACTGTGACAACGCAATTTTCAGGAAAAGAATCATAGGCATTGTTTCATTTTGCTCTCTACACTATTTTTCAGACATTGTGCTTCCTAGAGCAAAGACATGCTGGCCATTGGTTTTCATTTGATGATTTCTTTGGCACCTCCCCAGCTTTAATGTAAGCCACCATATCTTATCATTGTTGTATCCTCAGCAAACATTGGGTGACTCATAAGTGCTCAAAGACTACTTTGCATTGATGTGTTATGTTTACATGCACCGTTAGGGTCTGTGGATAACACATCCATGTCTGGCCTAAGATTTGTCCTTAAGGATATCCAGGAGCTCTTCTGACAAGAGCACAAATAAACCACAGTGAAATGATTTAGGACCTAAACACAATGAGTATAAGTGAGTTCCTGTTTTGGAGGGGAAGGTCAGCATGCCTCTCACATGGCCAAGAGCATTTAGAAAATTCCTGTACAAATTGTAAGTGGATTAAAACAGAGTTGCAGAATTGTAGAGTGTATTTATGTCTGCACTAATTACTGTCCTAGAATAAACCTACATGGTTGGTTTTGGTCAAATGGAATTCAGCTGCTAAAATGGTTGGTCATTGGGAAGAGTGTTCTCAGAAAGGAGAGATTAATAACAGAAAAGTTTGAAGTGGTAAATGTAGTGGACAAGTAATAATACCTGAATGGTATTTACTGGTGATAGACTTGCATCAAGCTAGTTGAAAACATGTAAAAAATGAAATAATAGACTAACATATATCCAATAAAGAAAGCAGGAAGAGCTGTATTAATTGTGGATGCTATGTTATTGAAAGCAAAAATGTGTTAGAGTGTAGGACAAAGATGGTTACCTTTATACATTAAGAATAAAGATTCACAATGAAAAACAGCTCTGAAACCTTAGTCACTTTATATATGAGATGAAAAACAATAGCTTCTTAGGAAAAATGAATAGAAATGGTATGTTAGTTATTTTAAATGCCTTTCTTGATGCATTCCTAGTCATGTAAGTAATACAGAAAATAAGGATATAGGAAAATACTAAAGATACAAAACCATTTATGTGTGTGTGTGTGTGTATATATATATATATATATATTATAGATCAAGCCATATATCTTGCAAATGGCAAGTATTTTCTGTTACTGAATGCTCATGAGCATTGGCTACAACATAGGTGATTGTGGAGGAAATCTCAAATTATTTCCCAAAGCAGAAAAAATACAGACAGTAACTCTATGCGAAACTACAAATGATTCAAAAAAGTATAAAGAGACAAATTCCAGTCACTAGACCTAAAGCAACTATTTTAATTCTAGCATCTAATTCTGGTGATTCTTGTGAACAGGCACTCAGCTCTTCAGCCAGGAGCACTGATTGGCCAGAGGTTCTGTCTGCTATGCTCTAAATGCGCAAGTGTGCCAACTGCATTTTACATGGGCTGCTTCCAGGAGCAGCGGTGACTTTGGCTGAAAGATCTTAATGGAACATTCTTAGAATGGCTCTGCGGTTGAAGGCCTTCCTTCCTTGTCTTCATCTAATGCAGGCACATCTAATTGCTTTATAGTGTCTGTTTCTTAAATGATCTGGACTCATACAAGTGTCAAAGAGTAAATCCACATTGCAATGACAACATACTTAGGAAATGATCTTCAGAATGTTACCTATTCAAAAGGCACAACCAAACTGATAATCAGATAAATAGGTAGCATTATCTGTGTTCATGGTTAAATGAGAAAGACTAAAATTCCATTAGCTAATTGCTTCACAAAATTTAGAACAATAAATCTTACCAAAGGAAAACAGGATTAAAAATTTAGGCTGAGGTAAGCAGAGAATAGCCACACAACCATGTCTATATCCCTATTTCTGTAAGCTATTAGTAGGTTATGTTCCATGGCAAGGGATGCTTGTAGCTATGAATTTAATTAAGGTTATCTATTTCCAAATAGCATGTTACTCTGGATTCCTCAGTTGGGCTCAGTGGAATCACATGAGATCTGAAAAAGCAGAGATTTTATACAGGTGGAGTTGGGGGTGCGGCAGAAGATGAAGTCAGAATGACTTGGAGCACATGGACCGGCTGTGGCTAAACAGGCCACATGGAAAACCTGAGAAAGCAGGGAGGCTGCGGAGCAAAGAGCATCCTTCAGCAGACAGTCAGCAAGGTCCGCAGTCTCACTACTGCAAGACAGAAGATTTCTTCAAAGACTCGAATAAACCCAGGAGAGAATCATCTCCTGGGCCTTTCCAAGGGAACACTCCCCACCCCCACCTGCAGCTCCACCCACCAGGAGACCTCAATTTCTGCCTTGTAAGACTCTTGAGCAAAGGATCTGGTCTAGCCCACCCAGACTTTCAACTCACAGAAATGATGAGATAACACATTTATGTTATCTCACTATGTTTGTGGCAGCTTGTTATGGAAAACCAACTCGCAAACACAAGTTTAATAAATAAGACAGAAAAAAAATACTAGAGTGATAAACAAAAATGAAGACTGCTTCTTTAAAAAGCTCATAGACATAGTTTGTCCTAGAGTATGCATAAAGAAAAAGAATATAAATACTAAAATTAGGGGTGAAAAACACAGTAGTTATAAAAATCTGTGAACCAAATAAAGTAGTAAAAACATCTTAAGAGCTGAAATTACAGGTGATGTCTCAATAATTATGGAAGATTTAATTAAGCTCTTTCAATCTGAGAATTAGACCAAAAATTAGAGAGAAACAAAATTAACCAGGAGGCCATTTCTTTTGTGTGTATGTGGACTATGTTTTGTGTCTTTTAAAAAAAAGAATACGCATTCTTTTAGAGCTCATACAAAAATTAACTTCCAGTAAACCAAAACCCCTCAAAATATTCCAGAAACTAAAGGGGATATACACAGGGACATTTACTTACAATAAGATAAAACTGAAAATTAACACCAGCATAACAAAATAAAGTCTCTAATGGGAAAAAATTGTACATATAAAGAAAAACATGGCACACAACCATAGATTTACTATGATTTGCAATGGGAACACTACATATCAAACCCTGGGTGATATAGGGATAGAAGAGAAAACTGATCCTTAAAGAAAACTCAGTCACAAAAATATACACGCATGATTTAAGTTAGAAAATGGACAGCCAAAAACTATAGTGAAGGAAAGTAATCAAGGAAAGCTAAAGTTGGTGAGTTTAACAGGAAGCAGCACGACAGAGAAAACAGAACATTATTAAGCTTCAACTAACAGTGGAAAGGAAAGTCACAAACACACAACATTATGAAACAGCAAGCTGAGATATGCAAAAGCAGAATGAATTAAAAGGATCCTGAAATTGCTTTGTAAGAACTGTATTCAAGTGAATTTCAAAATCTGGGATGAAAATAGACATTTTTCCAAGTAAAATGATTTATGAAAAATGACCCCTAAAGAGGTAAAATTGTTTAACAGACTAATTTATATGAAAAAAAACTGAGCAAAATTATCAAAGGAGTTGGTTTTATAAGTTAACCTTTTAAATAATTATGATGCTTTAATGAACAAGGATGCTACATTCACCTACAGAGAACATGTGCATGTCAAACTCAAAAGATTAGTTACAAACTGGGAAAACACGTTCACAGCTCATGTCAGAAATGAAGATACAAAGAGTTTCTAGAAATTGACAAGAAAATGCAGCCCAATAGAAACGTGATCGCATCACTGACAAAGGAAGCTTTTCATTGGGTGAAGACACTCAACCTCATTCATAAGAATAAGAGTGAATGAAGACATACAACTGCTTTTTCTTCTTCCTGTAGGAATGACAAATTCAAAAGTTGTACAACATTCCATCCATGAGGCAACTGACAAATAGAGCATTTGACATATTGGCAGTGGGTTTGCACCATGCTAGAGGTCTTATAGAAAGCAATTTGGCAACAATAACAGGCACTTGTTTCTGTTTTATTTTCCAAATAGCAAACACTTGCTCCTTTTGACCCAGCAGTTCCACTTCTGGCTGTTCAGCCTACAGATATACCCACTCCTGTATTCACAGAGTTTCAGAAGTACAAGGTTGCAGATTTCAGCATCCTTTAAGAGAGATAAACACTAAAACCCCAAATGTCCATCTATGAAAGACTGGCTAAATGTACTATTACACAGAGAAAAGTAGCATGCAGATAAAAAAAAAGATACTGATTGTAATAAAGATTGGTTAAGAAAGGTCCTTCAGGATATTAAGTTTGAAGCAAAAGGTGCATAGAAACAACACCATGTGGCATTTGATCCAACAAATGCAGAAATGAGAATAGGCCTTTGCTTGCATCTGCACTGGAGACATATTGAAAAGATCCACAACACCAATAACAAGAATGGTTGCCTAAGAGGGGCATAAATGTTGAAAGAGATGTGAATGAAATTTTTCAGGGTATATTTTCATACTTAGTTTTAATTTTTGAGCCAATACAGACTCATTACATTGAAATATTTTAGAGGTAGGAGGAGATCTATAGTATGTTGTTAACAATGTCAATATGGACTTTAATGCAAAATCAAGCACTGATTTATTATAAATAGGCAAGAATGTTTCAGTATTAGGGAATGTGTTCATAGTCTATCAGATATTCAAAGACGAATACAAATAAAGGAATCTCAAATTCCAGACGGCCAGTACAAGTGACTGGGCATTTGATATCTAAAAAGCATGCCTTCCTTGAGATGATCAGAAATACATCAAACCAACAGTAACCCCAAATAACAAAGACATTCCCCAATACAGTCAGGAGTCAGCCAAACTGTATTTCTTGGCTGCATTTATTTGTTCTAGACATTTTGGTCTATGGTCTTAAGAAAATGGATGATATCAGAAAACCAGAGATAACATTTTTAGAAATAGCTTCTTATAAGATTGATACCTTGAAAACAAAGAAATTAGCTAAAAAAAACTACTAGGACTTAGGTGAGTAGGAGGGTAGATAAGGGGAACCAGATGGGGTTGCAATAAACTATTTCCTGTTACATGTGCTTCAGATGATCCTATAAGAACAAATCAAGTGTTAAACTTCTGTGTCTCCCACCTTGATGACTTCAGAGATGTGCCTGTTTTACAAAAGTTCCATAACCACCAAGGGTACCGTAAACTTTGCACTTGACTCTGCAGCAGTTAAACTGGTGACAGAGAAAACACATTTCAGGAGGAAGGAGCACAGATGATATCTTGGTGTGAGGGAGTAGTGGCAGGTAGCTCAGTATCAATGGGCATGGGTATTAAGGAGGGACCAGTGCAGACAGCATCTTCAAAATGTAGACCAAAGGTCTAATATGCTGTTTTGTAAGGGATGTTACTGATTGCAGGGTTTTAAGCAGGGATGTGACATAATCAACCCCTATCTGTGTTGGACCTTGGTAATATTAGCTTCCATATTGTTGGTCCATAGTCTTTGAGGGCAAAAAGAAGGGAATAGTAGCAATGGTGGAATTGAACAGTATGGATTTAACACAGGATGGCTGTGTTGGACGACAGGAGGTGCTCATGAACACTCGTTGATTGGGTTGATTACCCATGGTGACTATGAATGAGTTGACACAATTATTAAGCTTTTGAAAGAAATGAGTTCTTTCAAAGAATTGCCACCTGCCTGGGCATTTTGATAAGCTATAATGAGAATCGTTCTGGCACTAACTCATGATGAGAGAAATATCTTCTCTTTTCTCCTACCTTTATATCCAAGTTCTTGGAAAGAGCTTCTAGAGCAGACACCAGGTCTTGGATTGCCTTCTCAGTTTGCTGATAGTCATGCCTGATGTAATGAATGTCGCTGGAAAGCTTCATAATGCTTGAGTCACATCTAGTGGCAAGATGGAAATTGGGGTGAGATCAATAGGCTGTTAGTATTTTTAACACCAGAGTAGAACCTATGTAGCACTTGGTGTCAAAGATCTCAACATCTTGGGGATGTAGCATGAACAGAAATCACATTCCTTTTTCTCTTCTCTTCTTGATGGGAGAGAACCTAGGTTACACATATTGACCCAAGCAAGAGTACCAGGTTTTACTGTAGCAATGAGGAGTTCCAGCCCATTCTCATGTATACATGAAATGTGGGACACAGAGTACCGAGCCACCAGCTTCCATCTGTCTGAGTCATAAGAGATGGCTTGGACCTTGTCATGTTATAAAATAGCTGCTTTCATTGACATCACATAATATTTGTGAGCAACCACATTTTCACATTGGCATGCTAAGTGCATTAAGTGATATTTGCTTTATGGTTGTCAACATCTTTTAGGATACTGAAATGAATTTTTTTGATGCAATATATTTTGAGCCAGAGGAGAATTAAAGAAGGGACACAAGGGGATGGGATGGAAAGAGCAGTTGAGGGTTCATCTGCTTAAGAATGAGAGAGGATGGGATGCACCAAGGTCATTGTCAAAGCCATTTTCTATGCTCATATATGGGAACTTTGACTAGGAGAGTGCCTTTGTGTTTGGTTCAGTAGCATGTCCTTGTTTCAGTCCATATGGAGACTCTCAAAAACTATAGAGGAGTGGCTGCTGCTATGACTACTTCAGTCCCTCGCCTCCACCCCTTCCTTGTTTCTGACCTGACAGCTGATCTCTGCAGTAGAAGTTACTACAATCAGGGAAGTAGGCTTTGGGGCATTGTGCTCTGCTGCTGCTGCTACTTAGGTTTGTGATCTGGGTTACATCTGCATTTCAGTTTTTGTCTTCTGAAGAAAGGAGTGAATGCTGCCAGTGTCACTATAGATACTGCCCATCTGTCCACTATACCACTGTAGGGGGTTCTCTGACACATGGATGACTATATGAGGAGTCTGCTGTACTGTGTACTCAGCCTTCAAACCCATGAAGGCTGTGGTGAACATGCTACTTGATGATGTCATTAAAGATGGAAGGGGTGATGGGTGCTAAGTCCCAGCCACACTAACATTTAGGGAGTAAGAAGAGTGGAGTACAATATTGGTTTTTATTCTCTTCTTCTAGAGGTATCTGTGTTTTTAAAAAGCTATCATGGTCTCTCTCTACAGACATGATTTGTGCTTTTCATCACATGTTAGCACAATGTGTCATTTTTAACACACGGGTTTGCCTTGGAGTCCCAAAGAGCCAAATATGGTGACTAGGTTGGGGTTGCTTCTGGCTGCAGCTACAAATGAATCCCATCCATCTCTATGGGGTGCCTTTTGCACAATCCCCTTTTCTGTTTTTGCATTTCAGACCTATCTATAAAAGAGAGTGGGTCAAAGGCAGGTTGAGCAACCTTGAGGACCTCATTGGAGGTACTTGCTTTTAAATTGCCACTACATTGGAATAAGATATTATGATGAAAAAACCCAAAGTATATTGCAGTTATTAAATATTGAGCCTGCCTGATGAAGCAGTAAAATATTTGCTAGGGATTATATTAAAAGAATCAACATAATTTTGCTTGTGCCAAAATGACTATTGGTATTAAGGTCACTATGTGTGGGAGACCAGTGATCAATTTGCCTTAGCGTGTCCATTAGTCATTTGTCTGGCAGCAGCACAGAGAAGAACCCAGAAAGAGGAAGGGTGAATTTTAAGTCTCATGGATTACTGCCAGTTTCTGTCTCAGATTTCCAAATAGATTTCAGAAATTTTCCATAAAAGGGGACATTTCAAGGAAAAACAAGACCTTGTCCTGAAGTCACTGCGTAAGATTGAAGAGGAAGGGAAGACAGAGATGAGGGCAGAGAAAGAATTGCTCATCTGTCATCGATCTTTCCAGTGGCTTTAGAATGAATCCATTTGTTCTCAGACTGACAAAAGTAAAATAATATCTTTGAAAGTGGTTTACAAGAAAGAATACATGACAAAACATCTTCAGTATGCCACCAAGATGGATTCGATCACATTGTATTTAAAACAGGAATTTGGTGTTTATTTTTGCAAGGAGATAGATTTGCTGGTGTTTATTTTTTTATGTATTGCTTAATAACTTTAAATATAAACATTTGATCTGTATGAAATATAAGAGTAAGTATTAAATAAGACATTTCATTTGTTTACATATAAAATTATACATATAGTTCCCCCCTCTGAATTGTCAATTATTTTATCCATGAAAGTTTTCTATGAGCATTACTTCCTAGATGGTATCTTTCTTTTTTATTTTCTATTTGTTTGAAAGGCAGAGTGATGCAGAGAGGGAAACGGAGAGAGAGGGGCAGGGAAGAAAGAGAGAGAAATCTTCCATCTACTGGTCACCTCCCAAACACCCACCTCAACTGGGGCTGGGCGAAGCTGAAACCAGGAGCCTGGGACTCCATTCAGGTCCCCCACAGGGATGGCAGGGGCTCATGTCTCTCCTGCAGCCTCTCTGGTGAATGGAAGGAAGCTTCATAGGAAGGCTGAGTCAGGACTTCCTCCTGCCTACTCTGATGTGAAATGTGGCATCCCAAGTAGATGCTCATGCAGCTAGCCACATGCCTGCCTCAGTATCTTATTTTTTTTAGGGGCATACAGCCACACTCCAGAACTGTTAACTCTTTCCCAGAGCCACTGAATCATTGTTATGGGCCCACTAGATCCACGTAACCTCACCTTCTTACAGGTATAGACAGCTCTGCCACTTTGACCTTCATCCTGGTTAGGATCCCACAGACTGCTCATATACACCATGGTACAGACACTTTGCTGGTCTCCATTTGACTAGCCACTCCTTTACCCAGACTGTTCATTTCTGGATTCTGTCTCAGTCAAAGAGGTACTCAACCAGCTCCTAATCCAGAAGCTTTGCTGGTTACCCTGGCCTCTCCCTCACACTTCATCTTCCATGCTTGTTTGTGTACTTACCTTGTAAAACACTGTTCCTTCCAGGCTGTGTGGTCTATCCTACTGGGGAGGTCCATGGGCAGTGCTTAATTTGGGCTCTTATCCTCTTTGGAATTGCTGCTCTCACTATTTTTTGACCACCATGCCCTCTTTCCATCCCCAACTAATTCAGCTATTACCAATGTCACTAGACAGGACAGCTCTCCTCTTACTCAAAGTCATCCCATGACCATTCAAAAGCTGGACCTTTTACGTTAGCCCACAGAGTCCCTCTCATCTTCCAACTTGGGACCTCTTGTCTACCTTCATCTCTTAAATGAGTACTCCAAGATACGATTACTGGAATACTGGTCTCACAGGTGCATCCTTGAACCTGTGATTGCAATCCTTTGCTCAATTCTCCACATGTTACTCTTGCCACGTGAAGGAGTCCAGAACAAAAGCTCAGAGCTTTGCTTCTTAGGAAAGCCTCAGCTGCGGTTCCATATGATTGGACCTTCCTGTATCTCCCTGGATTCTCAGGGTAACCATCACCTTCTTACTTCTGGGTGCAGCTTGCATTGCTAGGGAGACTGTGAATAGCCTTGGGAAGGGGATCAGGTGCCTGAACCCTAGCAAATTGCCTGGCCTGTGGTAAGTAACTCACTGTTGCTGAGTTAATGCAATGAGCACTCTCCATGGTTCAGGTGATGCTAATGTGGTGATGTCTAATTACCTTTACAAGATACGTTAGGCCTTAATTAGGCCTTGAGGGTTCCTCCTGCCTCAGTGGGATTAAGGCCCATATAAAGGCTCCACGCAGGATTTGGCTTTGCAGAGTTCTTTTGCTGCTCTGGGAGGATGCAAGCGTCTTTTCCCTCTAGAAGTTGGGTTCCTCACTAGACCAAGGAACCTGCTGACCCCTTCATCTTGGACTTCTGGGCTCCAGAACGGTGAGAAAACAAAATGTTTTTTTCTTAGTTGTGTCCTATTCTCATGTGTTTGGTTATAGCAACACAAGTGGACTAAGAGGGGAGTGGGGGTTGGTTTGGGTATTAATCAGAGATCTTATTTGGTGGTTAACACTTCAGAGAGGTGTGACAAGACAGGCGTTGGGGTATCCTAGGAGAGGGGAGAGGGGTTCTGGCAGGAGATGTAGATGGGGGTGTTGTTTAACCACTTGAGGTATCTAACACGCAACAGCCGGAGAGGGGCTATCATTGTCATACCTACAGACTTATTCTGAAATGCATTGCATTAACTTTTTTGATTCAGAAAAATGTATCCCAAAGATGTCATTCGAGACTTTTCCCAGGTGCCAGTCAATCTCTTTTCCTGGACTTAGTGATCTTTGCATATATTGGTGTACTTTACTCATTAGAATTTGACAGACCTGCAGAAATATATGTGGTGGTGAGGGTGTGTTTCTCTGAGGACGTTAACATGTAAACAGGAAGGGTATATCAAAAGGATTCTGGCCACTTCTCTATAGCAAGCTGGACATTGCATTGGCTTCACTGGTAGTGTGAGGCTTTTCATAGTTCTACGGATGCTCCCTCAACTACTATCTCACTAGATACAACAGCTTATATAATAGATAATATCCTCACAGTATGGATGGAAGATGGAATTAAAGGTGAGTTTATTTTGGTGTAAAATCAACTTCTCAGAATCCATGTATCGTTTTTTTCATAACGTGCATTTTCCGTGCACTTTCTAAAGATTCCCTGTAGAAAACTTGTTTAGTAATGAGATTTCAGTGGCTAGGAACTGCATTGATATCATGTCTTCTCACCTGGCCACTCTTCCTCGAAGATCTCCAACTCCGTGGACGTGTTTGATGTTCAGATCGTGGACTGCAAGATTAGCTCCTTGGGTCACCTGATCTCGAACTCGTATTTGGTCTTCTAAAATCTGTAATGGTGAGTGACAATTCCTATTAATTTCCCATGACTTGGACAAGAAAACACCAGGTAAAGCAGACTTACCAAGTTGAATGTGTGTGCTAGGCAGGCTGAAGGTGAAAATGAGTGGGAACAGCTGACTCCGAGGAGCCCCCTGCTCTGTGTTGAAGGAGGCAGCAGTGGGGGCAGCTGTGTGCAATGCGAGCTAGAAATACAGGTTTCCTGTGTACTCTCCCAGTGTGAAAATATGGGCAGCAGCTTGTTTGCAATCTTCCCTAATTGATATGTGAGCCAGGGAGAACATGGCAATTGGGCTCAAGTGGTCCTGAGTTGCCATTTGGTTTCCATTCTGGAACAGCTTCTCAAAGCCTATTTCACAATTGGCAGTTGGCTTAGCAAAAGGGATGTTTTAGTTTGGTTCAGACAGGGTTCTTGGTGGATTGATTGAGAATTGCCAAGAAGCTAATAACCAAGAAAAGCAAATGGAAATCAAACTGTTTCCAACAGGTGGCATGGAAGGGCTACATCATCTTAGATTGTCTAGAAATGGGAGAGACCCAGGGCTCACATGTGGTCCATGTGTAATCCTGTGTAATCCAGCTTTGTCTTTGAGTGTTGCTCATATCTTTGGAATCTTTCGATCTTTTGGAATAGTGGTTTTTAATTTCTGAGTCCCAACTGAGACAGTATTTATAATTATTTTTAATGATACATTCATTTATAATTAATGATAAATGTATTTATAATGATAAATTTAGAGAAAATTCTGTATTCATAGAAAACCTTGTGTTTGACTTGACATGCAAGCAAATTGCAGTGATGACAGATAAAAATGTGTCTACTAAGAAAGGTGAGGGTATGGAATTGTAGAAAACAATTTATGATGTGTGGTGTGGAGTGTGTGGTGATCATATGTGACAAAGGCCTGGAATATGTTTGAAAGATCTTTGCAAGGCTTACAAGGCAGAGAGGGATTTTCTGATAATTTCAGAGTATGTGCAGATTTTGCCAATGTGTTGACTGGCAGGTTGAAAGAAGTGAGAGCAAATAAAGCCTTAATTGAATATAATAGCTGGAGCTTTAGTCTTTTTGGTATTTATAGGTGCTTTGTTTTCCTTTCTGCATGGTGAAGAAAGGGAACTTGTTCTGCTAGGTACTCAAACATTTCAAAGCTAGGAAATCAGTGTAGCAGGGGTGCAGCACCAAGCAACCCTGAGTAATGGAACAAAGATGCTGACCTGCATGAGAAAGGGTTATGCTGTTTATTATGAAAGTCACTTATCAACGAGGGGAGAGACAAAAGTAGATTCCACACCCTTGGTAAACCAAAGGTGTCATTTTCATCCCATCAAATTAGAAAAGGTTAACACAATAAATCTCAATGCTGGCAAAAGCACAGTGAAAAAAACACTGTCATAGCGCTAATGAAAGTGTATAAATTTGTACAAACTGTCTTAAAACCAATTTGACAGTATCTCAAGGGTTTTCAGTGTCTACACCCCAGTAACTTTACTTTTAGAAATGGATTGAAGAAGCAGTTCGAATGTGGACCTAGACTTGTGCACAAATAATTCATCATCAACAGGACCATTAATCAGGTCAGGGTGTATGGCTCATGCATAGTTTTTAGTGACATGAAAGGCTTTATGTAGTATTTAAAACTCTGCTAACAGACAATCTTAGGCTAGAATATTAGCAAAGACTAAAAGGAACTATATCCTAGTGTTTAGTGAAAATATTTTCCCAGGTAATTTTAAAGCTTCCTGAACTTTTGAAGTAATTCCAGGGAAGACTGTTGCTTTTATAACTTGGGTGAGGAGAAACCTATAATGAGGCAATGCTATACATAATCTTTCTTAAGTTCAGCATTAGATAGATTTAAAAACTAGCTGCTTGTTTAAATAAAGGAAACAACTTGATTTTAAAAGGGAACAAACAATTCATTGCTACCATTATGGCAGATTAAAAAGTTTTAAAGCTTGCATTAAGATCTTGGGTCAAGTTTGTTTTGCTGTTTGTTTTGCATCTGTTTTACTGACCAATTTGCAAATGAGCTGTCATTCTTTTTCACTTCCATTTGAGAGGAGGAAAGGGAGAAGGAGTTATCCTTGGGCTCACTCCCCACCTGTTTCCAATAGCTGGAACTGCTTGGGCCTGGAATGGAGATTTCAGGCTGGGTTTTCCACACAGGTGCCAGAGGTGCAGCTACTTGAGCTGCCACCTGCAGCCTCCTGGAATGTGCAAGCTGGCAGTTGCGTTTACCAATGCACTCTGGTATGGACTACTGGTGGCCCGACCTGCCACTGCTCATGGCTGTGGATGCCTGCCTAGTCCATTTCTCTAAGCAAGTGTTGATGACTTTGCAGGCCTGGTTATTTACTAAAAGTGTCCTGGAAATGTCTCATTCATGCTTCAGCTACAATATCTATGCCCTTATAAAGATTTTAAAATTTAGTTTCCCATGCAAATTAGGTCAGTTCTCCTCACTTTCTCTTTGTATGCCAAACCCTTAACAGGACTACAAATATTCTGAGATGTTAGGGTCTGGGGAAAATGTTTCGACTTTCTTTCAAGTCATTGCAGATCTCATTGAAGAAACTAGATCTCTAAACAGATTCCCGAGGTCTAAAGACTTTGTTCCTCCTTAATAAGTGTTTTGCAAGGTCTTATCAGGGCATAATATATATTGAGATCAACATCAAAGCAGAAACCTGGATGGATATGACATTAGATCAAGTATACAAATTGACCATTCAGAGAAATACCAGAATATATCTTTGGGATCTTTGTTTCCAAGAATATTGTTGTCTTGAATACTAAAACATTTTGGCTCATAAGTTAGAATTTTATAAATTAAAAATAAGAAAGATATGTTTGATTCAGCCCAAGAATTTTCCTTATTGGTAAGAAACTATTTTTCCTGTAATACCTCAAAAGCATTTATTAATTTACTTGTCTATTCAAGGAATATTCACATATTTCTAACTACATAGTTACTGAGTAGTGTGGAATTTAGCTGTGAATAGCATCCTTGCTTTTATGGAGATTATAGTCTAGAAAGGAAAATGGACAATTAGAGATCATGGTAGATTGTGATAAGCTCTATTTCTATCCCTAACACTTAAGGGCAATTAAAATTGTTGCATGAGAAAAGGTGATAGTTTAGAGTGTCAGCAGGCAGTTGAGCAGCAACTTGAGGGAGGTGAAGAATATTTCAGTAATACTTAAGGAAAAATGATCCAGACCCACTGGATAACAGGTACAAAGGCTCTGGGGCCAGAGGATGATGTAAGGAGTGCTGGGAGGTAGGTACGGTCAGGAGAAGAGCGGGGTGTCAGAATGAGTGCAGAGGAGCAGATTATCATTGGCCTATGTACAAACATACTGAAGTATAATGAACGCATCCAGATAAGATGATTAGTAGAATCTTACAGATCTAGACTAGCATGAGCAGCTGAGCATGATGTCTAGCATAATGTTGAGTAGCTCCCATTGCTGTCAGAAAGCAGATGTACAAAGCAGGCTTTTTGCATGTAAGTGTCTTATGATATGAAAAATTCGTGGGCAGTCAAAACCCTGAAAAAACTTTCAACTGGGGCAGCCAAGTTATGATTGGTTAAACAAAGGCAACATATTCTCTGGTTGGGTTGCGGCATAGGTGGTTGATGGTGTTAAACTGTGAAGCCAACAGAGGGGGAGTTCAGTTACCTCAATGTTCTGGCTAAGTTTTTTGACGATACTGGTGATGGTCTGGATGTGGCTTTCCAGTAACTTCCTGGCCAGCGATTCCTCCTTCTTGAAGCCATGGGAGCCCTGCAGACAAGCAGATATGTCCTCTTTGATGCGGAAGGCTTGCTCGAGGAGGAAAGTGATGGTGCGCTCCTGGTTGCTCAATCGTTCTTCCAGCTGGCTTGTCTGAGGGTTTGCAATGATGGGAAGGAAAGCAGGACCCCTGGTCAGGAAAGCAAGCATCACAGCGGTTAGAGGAGCTGGAGGAGTCTGGAACCAGATGGGCAGTCTCACCTATACTACTTTATTTTCTCCCCCATGAGAGTGGTGGGATCACATTCTCATTTGCATGATGAGAATCTTGGTTTATGTCTAAGAAACTGATCTAACTGACTTGATCTAGAATGATGCACTTTTTCTCCTTCCCAAGCAAGAATTGGTCCTTTATACAATGATGGGACATTCTCAAGGCAACCTGGTTGTAGTGGGAAAGTGGTGATGATTTGTGAAGGAATATGCCGCTAGACACCTTCTGAGACCCTTACCTTTATATTCATCCTCTCACTTTCTGCATAAATCTACTTTAACCTAGAAAATACTCAAGTCCATATGTCTTCACAGTGACTTTGTTAGGAAGGGACCTTTTCAAACTGCATACTTTGAAATAAATCAGGAAGAGAGCTCACTAACAAGAACTAATTGGTCAAATTTGGAAAAAACTGCCTATTTTGTGTTCTTGGAGATTTTCATTGTCATCAAACATCTAATAGTATTTTTTTATAGGTGAGAAAATAGTTCAGAGTAGTCAATTATATCCTCCAAGGCCCAGGTGCTAAAGCACTTTGAAAGCGGGCTGCACATGGACAAAGCTCTGATTTCTGTACACACCAGCATGACAATATTCCACTAGATCTATGGATCTGAGAACTAAGTGACTAAGTGTTTACTATAGAAGTGTCTGGAATACTTTTAAATTTCCTCTTGGTCTTCCTAAGCTAGGAGCCAGTGGAAGGAGCTATGGGGCTTGGTTTCTTGAACTTGGAGCTTTCATTTGAAGACCAGTTTCAAGGTCACAGAACTGTTGGTTTCACAGAGGATGCCCACACACATCCTGCAACCTTACCAGGGATCCCTCCCATGAGTCACCTCTGAGTGTAGCAAAGTATTGCATGTGGGTAACTAGAAGGAGATGTCAACTTAGAGGAGATTCCACCTTGCCTGAGGCTGTGAAGTAAAATAAGTCAGACAAAGCTACCTTCCTCTAGGAGATGACTATTTAGATCTATATTCATAGATGGAAGTAGCATATGTCTTTAAAAGATTGCTGTCCTACTTGCTGGCTCATAATAATAATAATAATAAAGGCCCAAGAATTCATGCTTATTCCCTTTGCAGAAGCCAAAGGAGCTATTTGCTGTGAGTGATTTGCTTGGAAGCGAGAATTCCTTGGACAGCAAGTTTTAGGGAGGATCACAAACGTGATTTTTTTTTTTTTTTTTTTTTTTTTTTTTTTTTGCAGAGCTATATTTAGTGATGTGCGACAGAAATCCAGACAGTGACCTAACCAAGGAGGCTTGTTTGGTTATGGAACAAGAGAACTATAGAACAAGATGGTCCCAGATAACAGGGGACCATCTGTTCCATTTTAAAGATGATGGGATCAAGACCTAGAATGAGTAGGTGTCCAAGGTCACCTAGTCATGCCACTCCCTGGTGCCCTTAGACTTCCTGGTCCACTCTCAGTGTGTGACCTTCAACCTTAGAGAGTCACGGTGTCTGTTCCCCTGTGGAATATTGAAATACTGTGCCCATTTCCCAGATGGCAAAGATCAAAGGCTGAGACTATTTGACCCAACTGAGTTTGTCACTACCTCTCCAGGTTCCATTGGAGAAAAAGTTGCTCTAGAAGTTTCCCCATGGTATTCTGATTATGAGGTTTGAGCTGGATATTTTATATAATGTGCCATTTTGTGGGACCTCTTGAAGATTTCTCTAGGCTTAAATTTCATAACTGTTTTGTACCAAAATAAGTTTATAGAAACTCCATTTTTAATATTTTTATGGCCCAGTGCAGTAGCCTACTGGTTAAAGTCCTTACCTTGAACGTGCTGCTCCGAGTGGCATTAGGGCCTCATTCCCTGGCTTATAAGGAAACCTCTAGAAGGACCAAGCTACTCCTGTTGTGCTTCTTGCTGTCTGTAGCATGCCCCTCCGCCCTTCCTTCAATGTGTATGCTCTGCTCCCCGCTCTGCTTACTGATTCCGGGCGAATCCTGCCAGGCTGAGCAGTGCTGTGGACATGTTACAACAGGAGTGTCGGGTGGGAGTGGAGTGTGGTGGGAGCAAGGTGTGCCAGCCCCAACTAGTGAGACCTGGAGAGGATTCCAGCATGAGCTGACAACTTAAATGAGAGTTCCTGAAATCCAGAGTTGAAGGGACCCATGTGGTAAGCCATAATTCAGTCCCTGAGCCATAGAAACTGAGACAAATATTTATTACACTGACTTTTGGGGATACTTTGCACGTAGATAAAGAATACAATTATCTGTGAGGCAGGTGTCTGGCACAGCAGTGAACATACCACATGCATATCTTGGGGTGCATGTGTTTAAGTCCCAGTTGTGCTCCAGACTCTAGCTTCCCACAAATGCTCACCAGCTTGTGGCTTGTAGTTCTCTATGTGGGAGGCAGCAGGTGATACCAAGTAGTTGAGTCTCTGCCATCTTCCATCATTCCCCAAATGCTGCATTTGTGGATCGAAGCCAATCTGAGGCCAGGAGCTTCTCCCTGGCAGGATCCCTAGAACCTAGGCCATCTTACACTGCCCTCCCAGGCCATAAGTAGGGATCTGGATCAGAAGTAGATCAGCTGGGTTGTGACCTGATATCCAAATGGGATGTCAGTGCTTGAAGACAGAATATTAGTCTTTTGAACCACACATATTTTTGCATTTCCATAAGGGAAGATTGTTTTCTGATTAACTTTCTGAATGCAAAAATGAAGAACCCATGAACACTGATTTTTCTAAGAGAAACTCCTGATGATAGCATTAATCAAACTACGAGGCTTTCCAAAAGATTAACAACTGTGGCCTGTGGCTGGCATTGTGATTAAGCCATGGCCTGGGACACTGGTATTCCATGTGCATGTGTTTGAGTGCTGCTGGGTCCACTTCCCACTGAGCTCCCTGCTGATGTGCCTGGGAAAGCAGCTGAAGCTGGCTCAAGAACTTTTTCCCCCAGAGGAGACCCAGTGGAGTTGCAGGCTCCTGGCTTTGATCTGATCACACCCCTGTTATTGTGGCCATCTGGGGAGTGAACCAGTGAATGGAAGATTTCTTTCTCTGTCTCTGCTTGTAACGCCACCTTTCAGATACATAATAAAACAAAAGCCAAGACCTTTCATGGAAACCAGATGTAGCTACCCATATGGCTTAAGGAAACCAGTGCATTTTTCTTTTAGAGAGAAAAAAAATTTTTATCAGTAATGTTATACCAGTGGGCTCTCTAAATTTAACTGCAAGAGAAAGAAATAACTGAATATTTCTGACTAGTCCAGATGGAGTTCCCTAACTACAGGAGGGAACATTTCTAGGCCTTACAGAGAGAGATGTCAGCTGTACCAAGACCCAGGGTCGTGTTGCAGACAACTGCATCTGAACAGATTTTGCAGAAACTCTGAGTCCTCTCTGTGTGTGCAGCTCAGTGTGAGGTATGGCAGCTGTGCTCATGCTGGCAGCGCCATCGGTACACGGTGCCTTGGGCTCCTCTGCCTGTTCTGTTCTTGTGAATTGAGTGCTAAATTTACTTAGGCTACCAAATCAGTGATCAGAATTTCCTAAAATGTGCAGAGACAGAGATGTGAAAATATAAACCCATCTCTGGAACCACTGGGTGTCCCTGAAGGCCAACATTTGTCCTTCTGTTGACTGATGGCTTGCCTTCTGAGTGAGTCCTGTACAACATTATGGAGTGAGATTTTAGAGATTCTTTTGATGTCTCCCCAAAATCTGAGTGTGAGGGGTGAAGGTGATGAAACAATTTGCTGCGATTTCTCCACTGCCTTTTTATGACATCTCCCTGGCAGGTACATTTAGTGGCCGCAGAAGTCTCCAGCCCAGAGTGTGGCAAGTACAGAATGCTCGGAGGGGACCAGGGAGACAGGTCAGGCTTTGGTGGGAAGAGTGTAGGAAAATACAGACCAAGGACAGTGGGGTTGGGATAGAGGCCCCCAGACAGTACCACAGCCAGGAGGAGACAGCGCCATCTGAGAGACTTGCTTGTGAATCCTTTCCAGAGAAAGACTGCACACTCCTTTTCAGTAGCATTTTGGATCTGATTGCAAAGAGTGAACCCAGGCCCCGGGTGAATGAGAACAGGGTGTGACTGGGGTACAGGTGAGGGTTAAATGTTTGGAATATGCAGCAGCACATTGTTAAACTACTGATTAGAATGCCCATGGCATTTGCTAGCCATTCTGGGGTGCTTTCCCATATTGCCTGGTTCCTTTTGGGGAGACAGATAATGTGTTTTTATCTGAGACTCCCAGAGAAACAGCAGGAGACCTGGATTAAGTTGTCTTTGCCACTTATTACCTTAAAAGTGATTTTAAAATATCCACTGTTTTCCTTTTTAAAAACTAATTTGAGAGGTAGAGAGAGATCAGGTTAGCAACTGCAGGTCCATTTGCTGCTTCATTCCCCCAAACACTTGGAATGTTGGGCCTGGGACAGAGACAAAGCCTGGATCTGAGAATTCAGTTGAGGTTTTTTCCCAGAGGTGCCAAACTTCCTTGGGTCATCACCACTGCCTCCCAGGGTCTGCACTCATGGGAAGCTGAGGTCAGAAGTCAGAGCCAGGAATCAAATCTACTCACTCTGAGAGCTACTGGAGTCTGAATCATTAGCCCAAGCAGCCACTCCCACTTACTGCATTGAACCTCTTAGTTTTGCCCAGGGTCAGGCCTCCTCCTCCATCCCATGGAGAGTGACTCCTGCCCTACTCAACTGGCAGAGGGGATCATTTTAAAGAATGTACTGGAAGTGCTTTGAGATGTCAACAAGAGGCATATGTTTATGGTCTTCTGACATTGTTAAATGAGATAGGGCTATGGATTGAGCTGTGCCCCCCACCCCCCCAAGAAGATAGGCTGACATCTTCAAGTCCAGCTCCTGGGAATGTGAACTTAGTTGCAAGGAGTCACAGCAGATGTGAACACCACAGGT